ATATGTAAACAAGCTTATACCTTCATCTATGCTTCCGCCTAATCTGAATATCTAGAACTCTATATTTTCCACTGAAAGCGTGCTTTTTGCAGTGCGTCGACTTTTTATGGAAATTAGCATATTTGATTGATAAACGACTAGTTTAAATATTCAAAGATAAAAGTTGTCACTTAGCCGTTGGCTAAAACCTGTTGTCACTTGTTGATAATGGGACTATTGAAGCTGTTCGCATGCAAATTAAATAATACACAGGCACTTGATTCTTAAGTTCCAACCAGTCTTTGTTTGTTGTCCACAATATAGAGCATGAATTGATCGACATAACTGCCGATTGAATAATATGCTAATTGGTTGGTCCTACCCCACTTCGTGAAATGGAATAATTTGATTGACTCCAAAGATAAGAATATTCATATTCAATAGCTATAAAAACCTCCGACTATTCTTTTGTCCACGCGCTGAACTCGTATTTATTCAATGAATATTCATAATGAAAACTTTAAACATATGCTGGCGCTCAAAAGAAGCATAGATCGACTTCTAATTTTTTACAACATTCCCACATTCTCACTTTTGCTGTCGCGTCTGTATTATATTAATTAATCAGGTTCTTAACTGAACTGTAGTTAATCTCTGATTGCAGCTTGCTTTCATAGATCGACTACAGCTGTGTTAAGTGAAATCTTCGGAAATTTCTGCGATGCGAGAGTTAAACAAATCGTAATCTTATCAACTGGAAACGCTAAAGCACACATTCTTATCTAACAATCAATTTACAATCCTGAATAAAGATTGTGCGTGCAATACATACAAAAATCAAACACACAAACACAAACAAAACGAACAGAAATACAAAAAAAAAAAAACATCAAATTATAACGCATACTAATTTAAATGTATATATATAATAAACAACAACAACAACTACAGTAGTGCCAATTGTTTACCGTTTCAAATTAGCATTAGTTTTGCTGTGGTGGCGTCTCCGGCGGCTGCAATGTGGGTGCGTGAGCGGGAAGTGCGAGTGTGTGTGAGAGATAGAGAGAGAGACAGAGAGAGTGTGAAATTGAGAGGAGCTTGGTCGAGTATTTTTTATGTTTTTTTCTGTGTGTTTTTTTTTTTATTATTATTATTTCATATGTGTGTACACATAAATATATGTTTTATTATTTGCACTAGTTGCTGGGCACGTGTAATTAGTGAACTTTTGATTTGATTCGGTTTAACTCAAAAAACTGATCGAAATGGCGTTTGGTGCCATATTGAAATTGTCGCGAACCGGAAATGAATTTTCCAACACTTGTTCAAGCTTCGGCTTCGGCTTCGTTGTCGTTTTCGATGTCGCTTTCGATTTCGATTTCGATCGACTTTCGATTGATGAGTCTGTTGTCGAAGGAGTTTGTTGTTCGAATGAACGAACGCGACATTAGGCGCTACTTTATGTATTATTGGATTGGCTTAGTAGCACAGCACGTAAACACACACACACATACACATACACACACAGGCAAATATGCAAACATACAACAACAACTACATGGGCGGGCTGACAGAGTGAATGAAGAGAGATAGAGAGAGAGAGAGAGAGAGAGAGAGAGAGAGAGAGAGAGAGAGAGGCACACACACAGTGTCACAGCTGCAATCTAGTTTATTTGTGCGGTTATTTGAACTTCGAGATATATATTTTTGAGCTGCGCGAGCTTTTGACACTTGGACGCCACAGCATCCAGCACGGAATTCACTTTCGTCAGTCGTCAATGGCAGCAAAAACTGAACTGCGTTTGTTCTGAGTTACGCTTTTGGACTGAGTTAGGGTCGTCAGACCGCGTATCGCGTACCCAGATTCGCACTCGTGTCCATTGCTCTACGGCCATAGCCGAGCTACGAGCGAGCTTATCAAATCGCACAACACATCATTTAAGTTCTTCTTCTTCTTCTTCTATTTTTGTTGTTGTTTTTTATTTTTGGATAAAAACCGTTTCGTTGATCTGTGATCTCTGAGGTTGATCTCGGGTCTGCGCTCAGCATAAAGCTCACTGCTGATAACGGGCAGCAAATTCAAATATTTGACCAACTTTTTAAAGTTTTCCGACCATGTAGCTTTACACGTATAGCTTGAAGTTTTTGAAATGCCCTGCCTTTCAAGCTACTGCTGAACGTGAACACTAAGAATAATTTATCTAAGAAACGATCTATAGACATTTTTACCTACGTCTGATTAGAAGCGGCCATGTCATATGCATTGCATAAATTGTTGTTTTTACTAAACTAATAAAAAATTAGACCTGTTTGCATTATTTGTTTGGCTTTTATAATAATACAACAATTAAAAAAATATGATGATAAATAATTAAAAAAAAATTAAGTAAATTAAGCAACAAATAAATACATGCATATATCTGTTAATCATAAATCGAGTAAAATAATCATGCTGCAGACTGATACTATACTTATGTATGTGTGATAATAACTCGATGTTGATTAGATTTGATTCCGAGAGTCTTTAACGTTGTAGAATATTCTGAATTCCAAACACACTTCTCACCTAATTGTGTTTCAATATATAGTTAAAAGTAGCATATCTAGTGCTTGAAATCAAAATAGACAATCATATCTACATATTTCCTTTTCTGTAATATAAGAATACCCATTGAGTATGTACAATAAAAATAAAAATGCAAGATTATGTATTTGATATACAATATTTAAATTTCAAATTAACTTCAACTACGTAGAATGAATGGGACGTGTAAAATATTGCAATTAGAATGAGGGAAATTAATGATTGAATTAGCTGAATATGAAAATAAATGAATTGAACCCAAGGTTCAATACCCTAAATCTGTCCTGACTTTTGTAATAAAAGCATATAAATATTCGAAATAAGTTGAATGAGTATCAAAACGTTATACATATATCTAATTCTCTGTTTTTATTAATTTTTTTTCTTATTTAAAAAAATGTATTTATACTTATAAAAATTTAAGATTACACCGTCCCAATAAAAATTTAGTTTGGTATGGCTAGATTCACTTTTATATAAGACTATATACATTTAATGAGTTCATCCGAGATCATGTTTCATATTCATACAAAACCCCATTATACCTGCTCCAAGCACTTTGAATGGGTATATGACGGTTGCCTAATTATTCTCAAGTAAATTACATAGAAATTCAATATCTGAAATCGCTGTTTAGAGCGGAATGCTTTATATGTTTGCTGGATAGTTAGACAGCTAAAGGGCTTTTAAATTTTTTCTATAATCTAACCGCCGAATGGATAATGGCAAATGCCAATGGAAACGTCGCACTTCGGAATCTCGATTGTGCACTTAGCACTTGCGCCAAACAGTGGATCTAATAAAATTTTTAAATTTATTCGCACTTTATGAGCTTCATAAACTTATTGACTTTATAAATATTCAATTTGCAAGTCAGTTGGAAAACTAGAACTGAAACAACAACTGCTGGCCGACTTTCCCTTTATAACAACTATCTGGCTATTAATTTATGCCAGAATCTCATTAGCTAAAGATAACAAAAAACAAAATTTTTTTGTGATTTGATCAATACATTGTATAAATATGAAATTCAGACTGATTAAGGTAAAAATTAAAGCGTAATTCGAACAATTGTTCCCACCGTCATCATTCACAATTTTATTAATATATAATGAATGATAGAAATAGGCGACCCCATACCCCATACTAATATATTCATATATACGATTTATCAATAGAGGTTTTGAAAGAAAGAGAGAGTAAACGAGAGAGAGAGAGAGAGAGAGAGAGAGAGAGAGAGAGAGAGAGAGAGACTGCTATCTTGAAAAGGAAACAATGATTATGACAGAAATAGAATAATTGGAAGGAAAAGAGCAACACAAATAGAGAGAGAGAGAGAGAGGGAAAGAATCAGAGAGCTGCGAGGGTGATGAAAGGAAACTTTCCAAGAGATTTGTCTTTCTATCTTTCAATTCTTCTTCAGATCTTTCCTATTTCCTATTCATAATTTCACACTGGTGTATACATTCAACAAGTTATATTTTGGAATCCCTAAACGGATTTTAATGTTACAAGAAAAGAAAATTGAAAATTGCTTTGGAGTATATTAAGAGATCTAACCCTTTTTTAATACGGTCTATTTTACAGTCAAAACTCTCTAAAAAAAATAAAATATGAATCCATTCAATTTTGTTAGTCTGTGCTGTAATTCCTCTATCAACAACTCTTTTCAACGGCCAATCAAAATTACTTCACTTACCCGAATTCAAGTGTACGCCTAAAATTAGTCTTAATATGGCCTCTTGACGACAAATAAAATGTGTGTCAATATATCTTATCGTTATCATTATCATCAATACACTTTTGACCCATTAGATAGCCTTACTCAGAGACTAGACACAGGTGGTATTAAAAATGCGTTCGGCTTCGCATAACTGACCTAGCATAAGATTATTTAATTAAAGTCATTTTTATTTATGGCTTGGCGCTTGTTCAGAAAGCAGAAAAAAGAAACAAAAATTATTCAAATTTCGTCTGACACACATTTCTTGTTTCTTTCGAAGATTTTTGATGCAATTACTTATGCAAACGAAATCCATTTTTGTTTATTTGTTAAAATTACCGCAAACTCTTAAAGCAAACGTTGGAATTTTTGACAGTAAAATAAATAAATTAAATGTGGAACACGAGCATTTACATAGTACAACAGTCCAGCGATCCAGGTTCTCATCAACTAACAGAGTTAGTCAAATACTTCCACATAATGTGCTTCTGAGCCAATCGAAAGTCTCAGCAGTGTGGCTTATCAGCATTGATAAGGGGGAAATATTATATACTTTACTTTAGCGATCTTCGTATTCCACTGCTCGATTTACTCTGAGATACAGTGAAATTCACTTACACCCGATTGGAACAAGTGCAAAAACAAGAAAAAGACTTCCCGCTGAGAACGAGACTGTGACTTCAGGCGCCATGGGTCATATGTAGCGGGCAATGGCTGATAATCAATATGTTATCAATTATTCAGAGCGACATCAGGAACAACTGTCTGCCAAACATGTGTTCAATTGAATAAGTTTGAAATGTTTGCTCATGTTCAATATTTATTAGCGTTCCTGTTTAAGCTTATGCAAATGAGAGATAGATGTAAATATACCGGGATACCACAAAAGTATGTATAGGGCGAGGGAGAAAGAAGGAGAGAGAGAGGCAGGTTGTGATAGAGTAACAGAGCCAGACAGATAGACAGAGAGAGATAAAGAGAGAGAGAAAGATATATGGAGGGAGAGAGAGAGAGACACAGATAGACAGAGAGGGAGGGTAATTATAGAGTATGTATTAGAGAAATAGAGGAAAAGAGAAGCAAGCAAAGTAGACTGATCAAATTAAACGGACAATATATTTTATACATATACACATGTACATACATATATGTATGTATTCTTGAGCACGATTAACAGTCGATCCATTGCCGAGCTGATCTATCCCGGTGCGGCTGTTCGCCTTTATATATAAAGAAATTAAATATGTTTAGCACGCGCAGACTATGTTTCTTTTGAAAAATTGATAGGCTTTATGTTTTTATACTATCATTTTAAATTGTTATGAATCTCTCAAATTCTACTAAATTAAAGAGTAAATATTTAGGTTTTTGAACATCCAAAAAATCTTCCCAAATTAGAACAAAAATAATCTCTGTTACCAAGAGCGCTTGATAATGCTCTTAGCTATAGATTTTGATTCAGCACAAGCCATTCGCCCAGACTTCACAAATATTGAACTTTTAGCATTGAATTTCCATTTAGATGGTTTTAACAAGTCTATCACAATAGCAATCAAATATTGAATACATTTTAGCGTAAACATTATGATTAAACAGGTATTAAATAAGTGTATTTACTGGCAAAATTCCATATAAGCAATATTGTTTGATAAAAAGGGAAATCTAAGCTTATCATCATCTGCATAATGGGTTTTAACTAAATGGGGTAACAAATTCTTTGGGAACCCTTGGAAACGTATTACAGCCAGAAAGTGGACATCAATTGTTAATCCATGAGGTTATCAGCATATCATAAAACGAATATAGTATATATTACGACATAGTTATTATTATTATGAAAGTTTTCTTTATTTACTCATAATATGTTTATGGACTCTATAAATTTATATATATCCTCAATAATCATGAGTGATCATTTTGTATGTCTATTTTATACACCAATATAACAATTTTTCGTTCTTTGTTTGTTTGATTTTCAATTTGTCGATAAATATATAGTTGAATAATTCGAATAATGAGAGAGAAACTACAAACTTTAGACTTAGAATTACAAAATTAAAACTAAAAAAAAAACATGTGACAATTGTACACACATTTATATTTGGTTAGTTGAATCTATTGCTAGCTGTAGTAGTAGCTGTAGTTTTCAAAGGAATGCTTTTGCTCCCCTCAACTGCCCGGAATCGCAGCACGTGTGGATTACTTGTTGGACCTGGGCATCCACAGGAGCTGCAAGACGGCAG